GACGACACATGAGAGCGGTTTTCAGGTATCTAAAAGGGTGTCACAAGGAGGAGAGAGAAAATTTGTTCTTCCTGGACTCTTGAGGATAGAACAAGAAGCAATGGGCTTAAACTACAGCAAGGGAGGTTTAGGTTGGACATTAGGGAACTTTTTCCTAACACTGGAATCAATTGCCCAGGGAGGTTGTGGAATCTCCATCTGTGGAGATATTTAAGAGTAGGTTGGATAAATGTCTAGCCGGGATGGTCTAGACAGTACTGGGTCCTGCTATGAGGGTAGCGGGAACTGGACTCGATGACCTCTTGAGGTCCCTTCCAGTCCTAGTATTCCATGATTCTTTAATGGGATACATGACCCTCTGAGGAAGTATCTTTATTTCAGAAAGAACAGCTGTAACTTCCCCATCACATAGAGAAGGTTGGAGTATCAGTTTTTTTAAATTCATAGCAACAGAAAGAGATGCATTTCCACGTTAAGCGATTACTCTCTCTAGCAACCTTTGTTTGTTATGTGCTGAGTTAACCGGACTTTGAGGCTCATTTGTTAAGCGCTACTGTGACATTCAGTCCCACCAATGACCCATTTAGTCACTGGGACCATTTAACACTTTGCTTGCTATTCACACAAACATTAACAGATTCCTCTAATGGGTCAGCCATCCTCAGCCTCTTAACCTTGCCCAACACCGAGGCTGTGTCTACACTGGCAAGTGTTTCCCGGAAAATCATCTGATTTTCCGGAAAAACTTGCCAGCTGTCTACACTGGCCGCTTGAATTTCCGGAAAAGCACTGACGATCTAATGTAAAAATCATCAGTGCTTTTCCGGAAAAACTATGCTGCTCCCGTTTTGCACAAAACTTTTGCGCAAAAGGGCCAGTGTAGACAGCTCAGATTTGTTTTCCACAAAAAAGCCCCGATTGCGAAAAGGGCGATTGGGGCTTTTTTGGGGAAAAGCGCGTCTAGATTGGCACGGACACTTTTCCGGAAAAAGTGCTTTTCCGGAGAAGCATCCTGCCAATCTAGACGCGCTTTTCCGAAAATGCTTTTAATGGAAAACTTCTCCGTTAAAGCATTTCCGGAAAAATCATGCCAGTGTAGACGTAGCCCACAGGTTCAAGACAAAGTTCCGGGTTGGGTTAGAATCAGCTGCATAATTACGCCCCATAAACTACTTTTGTTTTCAGATCTCCAGCACCTCCAGGATTCCCTTAGCAGCAGCATTAAGATCAGAGATAGATAGGAGGTTCTACAAGCAGCAGCCAGTGAAGCATCAAAACTCAAACATGGTTTACAGATAGTGCTCTCCTGTCACTAAAAAGGCTCTGTTTTCTAAACAATTAGCCAAGTGATGAAAGAGACAAATGACAATGGTAAGAAATACTAGGTAATGAGGCCATTTTGCTTAACCAGACAGAAAATGAGGAAGAAGTGGAAACTTGCCTGGCCACATTATAACAGCTACAAGTTCTCTGTCATTATCCACCCGGTCCTGCTACATTAGTTCAATGAGCCCAGGAGCTGAAACTTCTTTTGGGTTTGATCCCCTCATCATACAGATGTGTGTTACCAACCAGCAGCAGGAAAGCTCATCTGGGGGGGGGGCGGCGCCCCAGCAGTAACAGTGCATGTTGGCTCCACACCCCCTATGCCCTGCTCCCCCCCCACCCCACGGAAGCAGTTAGCCCTCCACCCAGAAAGGCTTTGGAGGAATTGGTGGAACCACAGCCCCCTGCCAGCTAAGGAACATGCTTAGGGGGAAGGGCTGCAGAGTGATCTACACTCTACATCCCTCCTCCCTCCGCATTCTTCTCCCCC